CCGCTGAGCCTGCGCGTCCGGAGCCTGTGCTCCTCGACGGGAGAGACCACAACAGTGAGAGGCCCGCGTACCACACACACACACAAAAAAAGACTTTATACTTTATATATATATAAGGCTTTATACTTTGTGTACTGCCCATTTCACCACGAATAATTTTCTTAAGTTGAGATTTAATAAAAAATGTTTACTGCTATGTCAAGAATATTCTTAACTGAAACTGGCTTTTTTGTTTTCCCCCTGCAAGTTCATGGCAGTGAGGAATACAGTGACTACTAGTTCAGTATTCCAGGGACGTCCTCACTCCCGCCCAGGGCTGCATAGAATACACTTTGAAGACAACACTTTGAGAACCACAGGCAGAGATAGGACCAAGAATACCAAAATTCACGTATCATCCTAGGTCCTGAAGGTCGTGTGGAGCTCCCTGTCAATGTCCTCTACATTGACACATGTACCTTAGCCTTTTGGCATCCTCAGTTGTAGTTGCTGCCAAGATCTAGTTCTCACCTAGCATATGGCTTCTTCTTAATACGCTCTCCTCTCACCTTAATTTTTATTCCCATGTCTTGATCCATGAAACCCTATTATAGAATATTGAGTTAGGAGTTTAACAGACATTTCTACTTCCCCATTCCTCAACCCACCCCCTTTCTGTTGTACACTTCTTCATACTTACAAATCTCTTCAATAAGGCAGTTATGGTTCACAAGGAAGATGTTCAGTGTAGAAGATTATATTCCATTTCCAAAGTTGATTCGAATTTTCAGTGATAATCTGTAAACTAGCGGTGTCCGATAGAACTTTTCACAGTAATGGAAATGTTCTGTATCTGCACTGCTGATGATGGTAGCTGCTAACCATGTATGTCTAGGGCACTTGAAATGTGGCTAATGCAACTGAGGAACTTAATTTTTAATATTCATTTAAATAGCCATAGGTGACTAGTAGCTACCATATTAGAGAGCACAAGTTTAGACCATTATGTGCACAGGACACACTAAGTTAATATAAAATTATGCTTCTGAGTCAAAAAATAGAAACTCTATAAAAAATAGAAACTCTAAAAACCAAAATCTGTATTATAAACTGCTGTGGCTCTTTCTTTTTGGAAAGTACTTCTTTAGGAGACATCAGTTAAGAATTTTGAGGTTGGCTTTGTCCTTTTGCATAGCTGTAACATCATTTGACTTCTCATGAAATCCTGTACATTTCTGCTACTTGTAATTCAGCACTGTGGGTGAGGGCAAGGGATTAAGGAACAGTGAGAAGGAATCAGTGTGGAGCTCTGAGTCTGCAGAGATTTTAGTTCAAAACACCTTGTTCCCTAAAGCTTTATTATCTACTTCTTACTTAAAAGGAAAACAAAAAACTCCCTTCTACTCCAGTTACCGACCACATTGCTCTGCTAAAAAGAACGCGATAGCGAGGGCTCCATAGGTGATGGCTAGTCCCATTATCAACAGGGCAGGTGAGGATTAAATGAAATAATGTGTGTCAGGCTCAGTTCTTAGACATCCCCAAACTGCATCTGTATCCTAGAGGGAGAAGTGAGCCCAGAAACCACATGCAGCCCCTCGGAATCTTGAGAACAGACAGGCCATCCAGCTCTGTCTCTAGGTCTAGCCATCCCGGGCAATTGATCAATTTCAGACTCTTCTGCGTCCCCTCCTCCCAGGTGTGCGTTTCACTGTTAGCCCCTCCCTCATAAGTCCCCTTGGGAATCTTGGCTCCAGTGTAAATAAATGCCTCTACAACTTCATCCTCTTTCACGGCCTTTTTTCCTCCGCTGTCTTTACATAAATTTGACTCTTTGGATTTCAAGGACACTACTTTCTCTAGATTTCCTGATTTGTTCATGTTTTCACTAAAAAGTTATTAAGTAACCTTTACATTCCATGAGTCCATTAAAAAAGAGAAAAAAAGAAAACGGAGCAAAAGGGAAAAACTCCCCTCCCCCAAATTACCATAACTGAAGGCAATGAAAGAGAATGGTGGTTAAGAACCCAGGGTGTGGAATCAGACAGCCTCGGTCCCAGTCTTGACACCAGTGCCTGCTAGCTTTGTGACCTTGAACAGCAATAGCACTCTTCCGTAAGGTGTGAGGTTTGAATGAGGTAATCTACATATGACCGTTGCCACGGTTCCCAGTAGGTATCAAACATTTACTGAGATACTGAGTTGTGGGAGTGTTTTTACTGCTACTTCTATTATTACTACCACTACATTTCCTTCCAACTACTATTACTGTTCTGTTACTACAATTATCATCAGTATCTCTTTCTTAAGGACCTCCAATTTTTTTTATCAGGATAAATAAACAACTACAATATATGAATATAACTGCTTTAATGGAGACATGTGCAAAGGTATTGAAAGCTTAGACAAGGAAACATCTAAACCTAACGGGGTGAGTTAGACAGGCACCTGTGCCAGTCTTTTTTTCTGCCTCAACTTCTGCTACCCTAACTGGTGACAATATGTATAATAGTTAAAAGGAACATGAGCTTTGGAATTGAATATATAGGTTTGAATTCCAGCTCTGCTACTTTGTTATGAAATCTCTGGCAAATCACTCAACCTCCCTGAGCCTGTTTCTTCACTTGCAAAATGGGGGTAGTACCTATCTTGTGGGATTCTTTAAAGATTAAACGAGAACACTGCCTGCCTTTCAGTAAAGCTCAATAAATGTTGGGTTCTCCAGTTGAAACTCTCATACTTTGAATCTCTTTCACCAGGAAGAGTTCAGTCCCTTCAAAGAATCACCCGCTTAGCTTAAGCCCACCAAGAATAATCTCCCCTTCTTAAAGCCAGTTGTGCCATAAAACACAACCTAATTGTAGGGGTGACTATCCCATCATATTCACAGGTCGTTCCTACGTTCAAAGAGAGCAAGTTGTGCAAGGGTGTGGATCCCTGGGGGTCCTCTTAGAATCCTGCCTACCATCCTGTTCCATAAACTCCTAACCTTGGATCAGTCTGTGCAGCTACCTACATCCACTGCTCTTCTGCTGAGCACTGGTGAATAAGATCATACAGAGTGAAGTAAGTCAGAAAGAGAAAGACAAATACCGTATGCTAACACATATATATGGAATCTAAAAAAAAAAAATGACAGGAATAAAGACACAGACCTACTAGAGAATGGACTTGAGGACATGGGGAAGGGGAAGGGTAAGCTGGGACGAAGTGAGAGAGTGGCATGGACATATATACACTACCAAACGTAAAATAGATCGCTAGTGGGAAGCAGCCGCATAGCACAGGGAGATCAGCTCGGTGCTTTGTGACCACCTAG